CTGCCTTTTCATGGTTAAGTTGGGTTTCACTTTCTGTGTGCAGAATCCCTTGCAGAATCTTTTGTAGTGGTGGCTTTGTGGTCACATATTGTTTTAGTTTCTGCTTATCATGGAAGACTTTTATTGCTCCATCTATTTTGAATGATAGTTTTGCTGGGTAGAGTATCCTGGGGTTGAAGTTATTTTCATTCAGTGCCCGGAAGATCTCACCCACACTCTTCTTGCTTTTAATGTTTCTGTTGAGAAGTCTGCTGTGATTTTGATGGGTTTACCTTTGTATGTTACTTGTTTTTTCTCTCTTACAGCCTTCAATATTCTTTCCTTAGTTTCTGAACTTGTTGTTTTAATGATGATATGTCGTGGGTAGTTCTATTTTGATCTGGTCTGTTTGGTGTCCTGGAGGCCTCTTGCATCTGTATGGGAATATCTTTCTCTAGATTTGGGAAATTTTCCTTATTATTTTGTTGAATATATTACGCATTCCCTTCGCTTGCACCTCTTCTCCTTCTTCGATGCCCATGATTCTCAAGTTTGGTCTTTTGATGGAGTCAGTGAGTTCTTGCATTTTCTTTTCACAGGTCTTGAGTTGTTTAATTAATAGTTCTTCGGTTTTTCCTTTAATTACCATTTCATCTTCAAATTCTGAGATTCTGTCTTCTGTTTGTTCTATTCTGCTGGATTGGGCTTCTGTTTTGTTTTGCAGTTCTGTTTCGTTCTTTTTTCTGAGGTTTTCCATATCCTGGGTTTTCTCTTTAATGTTGTCTATTTTTGTCCTGAGTTCATTTATCCATTTATTCATTGTGTTCTCTCTTTCACTTTGGTGTTTATACAGTGCTTCTATGGTTTCCTTTATTTCTTCTTTTGCTTTTTCAAATTCTCTATTTTTATTGTCTTGGAATTTCTTGAGTGTCTCCTGTACATTTTGGATGACCCTATCCAGTATCATCTCTATAAAATTCTCATTGAGTACTGTAGTATGTCTTCTTTTAAATTATTCTTGTGGGCTTCATTGGGTCCTTTGGCATAGTTTATCTTCATTTTGTTGGAGTCTGGATCTGAGTTTCTGTTTTCTTCATTCCCTCTGGTTCCTGTACTACTTTTTTGCTGTGGGGAAACTGGTTTCCCTGTTTTTTCTGTCTTCCCGTCATTGTCTTTGGTGTTGTTACTGTCCCTGTACTGTGTGCAATTAAGTATTTTCTAGCTTGTAATAATAACAATGGTAATATTTAGAATGGAAGGGTGAGCTGAGATGGAAAGCAAGAAGTTAAAGAAAAGGGAAAACAAATACACAGACAAGAGGAGAAAGCAGAACAAGGTATCAGACAAGAGAGTTTCAAAGGTATAAACAGGGAGTGTTAGTGTACTAATGACAGTAAGCTGAACAGACATTAGAGAGACAGAGAGAGGATTGAAAATAAAATAAAAAAAGATAAAAATAAAATAAAAAATAAGTAAATGAAAGAAATATCTATATATAAAAATGAATTAAAATAAATGGAAAATAGAAAATTAAAAAAAAAACCAAAAAACTCCAAGTTCAAATGCAATGAAGTTTCAGTCTTAATAATTTGGTGTCTGTCTCAGTCTCCAATCCTGGAGATGGTGCCTCAGATGTTGTTCTGTAGTTGTCTCATCAAAGGGGATGCATAAAGTAGAACAAAACTACACACACACACACACACACAAAACACACACAAACCCACCAAGTGTCCCAAGTTCAAATGCAATACAGTTTCAGTAAGTTTTTCCGCTTGCAGGTGTAATTTGGTTGTTCTCTCATCAAAGGTAGGGAGAAAAAGAAAAAAAAGAGTCTGGAGACAGTTCTGAGAATGGTATCTGCAGCTATGGCTTGCCTGCCCGCTGCTGTCAGCCTGCTGTTGCTGGAGGCGTTATTTATGCAGATCTCTGGGGTGAGCTTAGCACTCACCTGGCCCCGCAGGCTTTGTTTGTTCAGAGTTCTCCTGTGTGGGAGCCTCTGCTACAGGGCTTTCTCCTTTCCAAGCACTGGGAAAGGTGACACTGCACCCGCATTGTCAGGCCTGCGTGTTTATTTACAGTTCATGTGGGAGGTGGGTCTTCCCCCCCTCCTCTGAAGTTTTCCTCCCATTGTCACTTTCACAAGCTTTCCTGCTCCTGCTTACTGGGCGGTGCTGCTGCTCCTGCCAGCCGCCATGTTTGTTTACAGTTCACGTGGGAAGTGGGTCTTCCCTCCTCTCCTGTGGAGTTTTCCTCCCTCCGCCACTCTCACAAGCTTTCCCACTCCTGGTTGCTGGGTGCACGCCCTATCCCCGCTCCCACCAGAGGCTCTCCGGCCTGCCCGGCTTGTTTATTTACAGTCCCGGGAAGGATTCCCTTCCCCCAATCTTCAGCTCTCAGGGCACCCCACCCTCTTTCCTGCGTGTCTTATTTGTTCTTATTGCTTATTACTCAGTTTCTCCTTTTTCCCCGGGTGGAGATCAGTCTGTCCAGGGGGCTATGCTGCTCTGGTCCAGGCTTGTCTGTGAGAGTACCACGGTACCACAAACTCACCTGGTCTGCATCTTCCCAAGCCATCTGGGCGCCGGCAACTGGCGGCCTGGGGGCTGTCTTTGTTTCTCCGTTTAACGTGAAATGGAGATTCTCTGTGTCGGCTGGAGGTGTGGAGGGGTCAAAGTTATGCCTTTTCTTAGTGATTATGCCTGCAAAGTGTGTCTCCATTGTCTCTCCAAGATTTCACTATAAGAGGCTCGCTTTCTGCTTCCTCCCTCTAGCCGCCATCTTGGAATCCTCAGTGTAATCTTCTTGATGCTTGCTTTTAAACTTTGAAAAGTTGAAGGACCTATTAGACTTCATTCTATGGCTAATTTTGCCAGAGTGCTGAAGCAATATACTTCTGAGTACTTTCTTGATTTCCCTTGAATTACAAGGTTTTCCATTTTGTTGAATGGGAACACAAAATTCTCCTATCCCTGTGTGAGCACCTTCTCATGTTCTCATCTTGGGTGGTTCTTTCTTGTCCTTGGGTAATTACTTCACATACATGTGCTTTGGTACTTAGTTGAACACTTCAGAAGAATCTTCTGTATATATAGAGCTCTTTTTCTCTTTGAATCAGTCTCCTGTATCTGTGAATGCTGTCCTTTGTGGTCCCTCTGTACCCCCAGTTCTGTCTCCTCAAGAAAGGGAGTCATGTGACTCTGATTGGGTTCTCCCTCCTTTGCAGTTGCCTGGATACTTTCCAGGCAATAAACTGGGAAAAAAAGGAATCTTTTTCTATTTATTATAGCAGCACTCAACTATGTGGATAATATTTACCAGTAATTATCCTTAGTAATTTTTCCTTCCTTTTTTATACTATAAATTTCATATTGCTAATAGCTGTATATTATACATTTCTTTATGGTCTAGATCTCTTAGTGAGTTGTCTTTCTGAGCTAGCATGCACAAAATACCTTTTAAAATATGATAATTTACCTTTATAAAAATATTTTATAACTTGTGAAGTTCTCTCTTTCTCTCTCTCTCTCTCTGTCTTTTGCGTGCACACACTTTTTGATTTGAACTCAGGGCATTGCACTTGTTAGGTAGGTGCTCACCACTTGAACCACACCCCTGCCCTTTTTACTTTTAGTTTTTGTTGGGATAGGATCTTGCATTTATACCTGGATTTATGCTCCTCATGTCACTGGGATGACAGATGTATACCACCATGCCCAGCTTTTATTGGTTGAGATGGAGTCCTACTAACTTTTTGCCTGAGCTGGCTTCCAACCACAATCCTCCCAGTTTCTGCCTCCCAAGTAGCTAGGATTATAGTCATGAGCTATTGCTTCTGGCTTATGCTTTTATATTTTTCTCCCATTTAGGATAGTGGACATTTCTCTGGCGTTTTGTTGTTTCTGAGAGAGAAGATCTCACCATATAGCCTAGGTCAACCTGATTCTTGCAATCCTCCTGCCTCAGCTTTGTGGATGCTGGCATTACATGTGTGTGCCACCATGCCTGATTTTCTGGTGTTAATGGTATATGTTAATGCTTTGGATTATGTCTGTTAGCATGATAGAATAGTACAAAACCCTAATACGGCCCTTATTGAGAAACAGTGTAGGATCATGAGCTATGAACATTTATGGGCAAAACATTCATCTCCTCTATCAAATTGAGTTCTTTTATGTCTGTGTCTCTAACATACAGCCTAATTCTTGGAAAATAGTAGGTGTTCATTAAATATTTGATAAATAAAAATAAAATTGGAAATTGGAATTTTAGCAGTCTGTGTGTTTCTTTTTAAAATTTCTTTGGAACCTCCAACCTCTGGGACAACCCAATCCCAAATAAGTTCATAGTCACTAAAATCAAAAACATCTCTATTTCTCATTACTTCATGTCACAGCTTTGATTCTTGTAAACAAGTTGGACTTAAATTAGAATTACAATTTCTGCATTAAAAATGAACTTAGCATATCTCTGATTTTCATCTAATTTGCCTTATCTCTTTATTACTTATGTAAACATTTGTATCTATATTTTCTCTTCTTTGGAGCTGTTTTATATCCTTGTCAGGTTGCAATATGTCTGTTTTAATGTGTTTGTAACTTTGATTTAATGTTTTTGCACAGGGTAGTCTTTCTTCACATAGTCTTCAAAATATCTCTTTCTGGTTAAATGGAGCACCAGTGACAAACAATGGTTGGCTAGGATATTTGCTACACTTTCTTGTAGAAGATATACTATAGGTTGATCATGTTTTGTTTGTTTACATAACAAATCAAACTATTCACTAATTATTCACGTTGAATTACAAAACTGAGCATAGATTATGTTTATACTCAATGTCAGTAGGTGTGTATATTAGATAAATTTACACCCAAGCAGTATTACTCATTTAAATACAAATAATAAAAGTATAATCTAGGTAAGTGTGTCATTCCTCATTGTGTTCTCTGAAAATTTAACTTCACATTAGTATTTGTGAATGAAAATGTACCTTTCCCACTAAATATATTTTTCTAATTCTGAAGTCCAGGAAATGGAGATTTCCTAACTGAAACATCTGCTATAATTATGGGTGAAGATTGTGGAAGCCTGGATAAAAGAAGAAAGCCAGACTTCATTACTGGAAAACAGTCAGTACAACATATTTGGGGAGAAAATGGAAAAGAATTTTCAAGTTTTATTGAAGATAAACTTCTATCAGAGAATCATGACTCTTTCATTAGTCAAAATATGATAAGTTTATTAAACATAGATCAACAGAGGATAAAAGAAATGTTTGACAAGTGTCATTATGGTAGTTTGGGAGATAGTTGTGTAGTTGCTACTAGTTCTCATGAAAACCATTCCACTGATGGATGCACTAGAGGCATTTTTACAGTTCCAGAGACAACTTTTAGTGGTTCTACTTTTAATAAAACAAATTATCAAGAGAAGTGTCACTCAAACAAAAACTATCAGAAAGAATACAACAATAATGAAATAAATGACCTTACGACATCTTTTGAGAAGGATTGCTACCCAGCTAACTCTGAAAGAAAAGGTTGGTGTTATGCATGGAAAATGTAATAGACTATTTTTTCAGTGTTCATATATTTAATATATGCAAACATACACATACTCATAGTTGGCTCTCCATATCCAAAGGTTCCCCTTCTACATATTTAACAAACCATGGATTGAAACTATTAAAAAGATTGAATCTGTATTGAACATGTAGAGACTTTTTATCTTGCCTTTATTCTCTAAACAATGTGGTAGGTATAACTGTCATTTATATAGCATTTACATTGTATTATATATTTTAAGTAATCTAGGGATGATATAAAGCATATGAGAGGATGGGTGTACATTATATGTGTATACTAAGCGATTTTATGTAAGATACTTTAGCAGTCATAGATTATGGTATGGCTGGGGGAGTAGTGAGGGAGGTCCTGAAACCAATCCTTATCAAATACCAAGGGTTGACTGTATGGTATTTAAACTTATATGTATGTGTTTGGAGGGATATGAAACCAAAACTAGAGTGACTTATTATATAACATTGGGTATCAGTAATTTCCCTCTGTAACATGTATCCTGCTAATGTGCTTTGGATTAAAAATGAAAACAGATGATGCTCAATTTTTTGCTCAATGCATACTTTTATTTTGGAAGGAAAACTTGAAAATGGTCACCAAGAGAAGCTACCAAAAAATAATGCCCAGGAACATCCAGTGAACTCTATGTAAGTTTTTAGGTACATCTGGAGAATTAAAATTAACATGTAGCATAGTGTGTTCAGCAGGCCGAACTAATGCATAGTGAGAATGGGCAACCTGATCTGAAAGAAGCCTCAGTTATTACAGTCAAATATCACCCTCATTGAGAGTATGCTAGCCACAAAATACCTTCTTATCTGAATATTTGTGTTGATTATGTTTGAGGAGATTGACTTATATGTTCAGGCACCTCAGATATCCACTAGAATGTCAATTTATTAATTTAAAGTAAGAAATAGAAGGGTTACATGTACAGCAATACTTACTAGCATGAAAAGCTTGTTTTCTTACTTTATGTCTCCCTACGAAGGTTGCTTGGTTTTTATTGAATCAGAACAAGGAGTAATAGGGCTAAGGGTGTAGTTTGGGTTAAAGGTAGAGCACAATGCCTTGAGTTCAAACCCCAGTACTGCCAAAAAGGGGGGAAGAGATGAAGAGGAAGTAATAGGATTCATATATCAGTGACGTAACAAGCATATGAGCTATTTACGGGACAGTGTGTGTTCTAGGGTTAGAGCATTCTCCCCTTGCCAACATTTACCTCTCAGAGACTCCCTGTACTCTCTAGGTTCAGAGTTACCATCTTTACCTCATTATTGATGCATTATTTTCTATGTGAAAATAATTACGCTCCATCAGGTTTTGCTGCTTCTTGGTGCTGATGTGCAAAATATTCTGGATCTAAGTGGATTTTTAATCTAATCCATTACTGCTTAATATGTAATTTACTCCTTAGAGTTTTGAGGCTGCCTTACTGAAGCTTCTCTTAATGGCTTATAATTATAAGTAATTAAAGAAAACTTTATTTTTTGCTAGTAGTATCTGAATAATCCTAACTCTCTTGGTAAAAAATATATATTAGCCAAATCTTTCTGACTAGAGATCTATTTAGATTTTTATTCTGGAAATGATTCTTAGGGAAATCTTTAAAATATGTATTGATAAAAAAGAATACATTCAGGCATTTTTTACAGGATTGACACAAATTAAAATGTAGACTCATACCCATTTCATAAAATTAACAAATTATTTGTTCTCCAGTTTAGAAATTTATGAGTGAAAAGCTGTATGTTAGGACTTGAGTTTTAAAATCAGTTTTATGAAAGTGGTGTAAAACATAGTTCCCAAGCCTGGATAAAGATCCCGTTGAGGGGATGATGTTAAAACTGCAGAAGTTTGACCTACACATAATGAATAGACTTCTTGGCTTGAGTTCATCAATCTTTATTATTTTTTTAAAGCCTCTCATATAATTATGATCTGAAATCAAGTTTTGCAACCATAACTTAGAACAATAAATATGCTTTATTCCTTCAGAGGGAATAAAACAAACTTTAATGCTGTCTTATTTATGAACCTTAGGGGTGCTATCCCTCTGGAAGAATTGCACCCTAAGCAGTCATGGGACCTTGGACTTGATGAGGTAAAGCATATTGTCTTTCCAATTAAGTCTGTTTCTGTGATGTCATGTTTTAATATTTGCAGTTTATTAGACTTAAGGGTAGCTTTATAAGTTTCTTTTTAGGAAGACTTCTTAGATTTTCTTATACTAGAAGATTTAGCTATAATCTTCTAGTATAGCTAAATCTACAAATAAAAACACCCTTTCTGGAACTATTATCATTTTTATTTGAGACAAATCAATCTAGATACATTTTAAGTACTTTCTAGAAGTGCTATAAAATTTCTTCCAAGACAAAAGTGCATTAGGTTTAATAGTACCACTAGTGAACATAGTCATATATTTAAAAATATCAAAACATCTAAGAACATAAGGGTGTAATTGTTACAACACTATGAGAAGTTTTGTGTACTTTAATCTGCAAGAGTTTGATACTGTAGTCTTTGTAGCAAAAGATACTGAAGAGACATTGTTCAATGTCACACACTTGAGCCAGGAAACTACTGGCTTATCTGACTTGATATTTTCAAATATACTGTTTATTCTTTTTTTCTTCAATAAATATACATAGAATGCTATGAATGTACTTAACAGACACTTACTGAGTATATTCTGTACACTAGTCTCTGGGGTTAAAATGGTGAAAGGGCAGTTTTTCTTCTCTTGATGATTATATTCTGTTATACTATAGTCTGCAAGGTACAGAGATGAAGGACATGGAACCTCTCTTTAAGAAGCTTCTGCCTATTAGCTAAACAGACACAGAAATACAATGCTTTTAGATAAATTGCTACAATTGAGTTTTGTACAAAGGACCACAGTAGTCTTGTGAAAGATACTTCTAAGTTTGATGGCTAATCAATAAGAAGATGTGATGGGGAGAAGGCTTTTGAGCACAATATCAGTTAATGAGTTAACTGAATGGATGAAACATCTATGAAGAAGGAGCAACATAGAAAGTAAGATATGAGGAAACTGTATCTTGTTTTAGAAACTTCAAGTTCCTTGCTTATTATTGTTATTGATACAATTAATAAATCACAAGGGGTATGAGAGTAATAAGAGGTAGTTCTGGGAAATTTAAAGGGATAGGTCATAAATGAACTTGTATAATGTTTAGCAGTTTAATTTACTATCATGAAAAGAATCCCCTCAAAAAATCTTACTAGAAGGGATACGAATGTGAGTAATTACAAAACCCAGTACTGAAAAAAAAAAAAAAAAGAAAAACTCTAGCAATGATGAGGGATTACTTGTGTGTGTGTGTTGGGGAGTGGGGATACTGGGGTTAAAACTCAGGGTTTCATGCCAGACACTCTACCACTTGAGCCACACCACCAGCCCTTTTGTCTCTGGTTATTTTTTGAGATAGGGTCTTGCTTTTTTGCCCAGGTTGGCCTAGACTGTGATTCTTTATGTTCCCCATGATAACTGGGATGACAGACATATACTACCACACTTACTTCACACTCAGTTTTGTTGGTTGATTTGAGGTCTCTTGACCCCAAGCCTGGTCTTGAACCATGAACTTCCCAGTCTCAGCCTCCCATGTAGCTAGAATTATAGGTATGAGCCACTGGTGTCCAGCTAACAATGGGAAGATACTTGATAAGCAGAAGAACTCAAGGCAGGACAACAAATAATGAGGTCTTGAAGTTGTGCAGTGGTATATAAGGATGGAAAAGAGATTTATATCTAGATTTTGGGAAAACTTGGTAATTAACAATTAGTTAAGCAACAAGGAATAAATTGAGGAAGACCTGGATTTATGATTTATGTAAATGGATAGTGGGTGGGATGGTGCATTAACCAAGATTGCAAAGTCAAGGATTGTGGGGAAAATTTTTATGGGCCCTGATTGACAGTATGTACATTACTTCCACCCATGAATGAAATTAAATCATCCAAATCAACTTCAAGAGGAACTTGGAAATGTAGGCTACCATATGTCCAAAAGGAAGGGCTTTAGGTTTGTTGAACAATTACAAAGTTTCTCCTTTATCCTGTCTATAAATCTATATCCCACCAACAGAGACTATAAAGTATTTTAAGTTCATGATACATTTACAAGCATAACTCATAAAGTAAGCCATAAAGCCTCAGAAATTTTGCAAAGGAGAGATTAATAGCCATATTCGCTAATCAAAATTCAATAAAGTTTGGTAGAAACAAACAAAACTGTGCTTAACCTCTTAGCTTCCTGAAGGCAACATTCTGGAGCTTTAAAGAAGAAATAAAAATAAATCCCATAGAATGTTATGAAAAGCAAAACCAGTGGAGTGTGCTCTAGAAAATTTATACCTCTGTGTTTTATCATTTTTTAAAGTGAAAGTGAATAACTGATGTCCAACTTGAGAAATCAGTGAAAGAGCAACAGAGCCAGTCCCAGGAGCATTTTAACCTGCCTTCTTTCCACTGCGTTTAGTACCACTTAATATGATCACCTGAAGCCTTTTTGATCAGTAATTCATTTCTTATCAAGTATCTGTTCCATTCTTGCTGTTTCTAAACAATTTAAATTTCATTTTATTGCTCACCACAGGCCAATTTTTCTTTATATTAAAATAATATAAAGGAAAAGTACTATAAAATGAATTGGTAGTATTGATAGGGTAGATATAAGCGGGTGCTATTATGAATACTTGGGAGTTGTTAAAATTTTGGTTTTCTTCTAGATTGTGATGGAAGAAGAAAGAATCTGTTCTTCAAAAGAGAGGCCAATATTTATTAAGAAAATATGTCAGTATGATTATATAAGTGAATTTTATTATTTTTGAATACTAACAATTAGCAGTTCAAAGTGTGTTTAAAATTTTTTTCCATTAAATATTTCATGAAAATCTTAGTAATACAATAGACTGTAAAAGTAATTTTATCTTTTATATATATGCATAATTGATATACATAATTTAAATGTGCATTTAAAAAATAATAAAACAAATACCTCTGTACTCAACTATGTAGCTTATGAAATTATTCTTTTGAAAATATCTTCAATTGCATTTCCTATCCTGCCCCCTAGAGGTAACTATTATCCTGAATTTGCTTTTGTGATGTTATCACACACTTTTCCATTGCTTGATTTCATATTTTCAGTATGCTGAAAAAACTCTCTATGTTTTTCTACAACATTCTTTTATTCCCCCAGCATTGTATTTTGAGGTTCATCACTTTGATACTTGTGGCTCTAGTACATTTCATTATTTTATTTACTGCTATCCAGCATTCTGTTGTGTCAATGTGATACAATTCATTTGTGTATCTTTTGGCAATAGATATTTAGCTCTTTGCTACTCTGGCCATTCTTGACCTTTTTTTTTCTGGCACACATGTATTAAATGTTCTTGTAGGAAATATTTCTAGGAGTAGAATCAACAGTTCATATGATATACACCTTTACCTTTTAAGGTAATGAAAAATTATTTCTCATAGTGTTTGTGCCTGTTTAACTTCCCACTATCAAGAGGTAAGAGTCTTAGATATATATTTTCATCAATACCATGTCAATTTTTTCCCATTGTTAGTAATCTAATATAGTTTGAAATTTTTATTTCTCTGATTACTAATTAGGTTAATTGGTCATATTTCATCTGTGAAATGTCTTTTCTAAAGTCTTTCATCCATATTTGTTTTTTTTTCTTTTTTGAGACAAGATCTCTCTGTGTAGCCCAGGCCAGCCTCAAACTCTTACCCTCCTGACTCAGCCTCTTGAGTGCTGAGATTACAGGCTTGTACTACATGACCAACTACCCATGTTTTTGGGAAATTTGGTTTTCAGTATGGGCTGTGTCTTTTTTCAATCTATCATCTATCTATCTATCTATCTATCTATCTATCTATCTATCTATCTATCTATCTATCTATCTTCTATCTATCTATATCTAGCTATAGCCATCCATACATATCTATATATAATATCCGTATTTATATCTCCTATT